GCGCAATCCAAATGACCTGATTGCCGATTTAGTGAAATCAATCAAAGTACCGAAGGCATCGAGCTCAAGGCATGGCAACAGTGGCTTGCACGAAGATGAACTTGCACAGGTTTGATCTTTATGTGCCCTAAGCATCTTTGCATCCCTCTCATTAGCCTACATATTGCCCTACCCCCCGCTTTCTTCTCATGCCGGCTTGGGTTCTCACTTATCAAAGCTTTACTGTTTGGATGAACGCAGCTCTGATTCCTCTACAGGGTCCTTATTCTAGAGCGTTTGCTTGTTTATTTTACGCAATGCAAAAACGCGTATTGTCGAGGAGTTGTCTGTGTGTATATGTGTCTGTATGTGCGTCTGTACTGAATTTTTCTTTTTTGGACTGCAAAACATTTTGGCCTTGAAAATTGGACTGATTTTTTTGAATATGCAAAATGACGCCGAGCAGAAATACGCCTCCCACTTTCCCCCTTGTCCCTCGTAGAAGCATCGAGTAAAATCATCAGTAGGGAATCTCCACACTATTTTTGCTAGTGGTTCTGAAAATATTAAAATAAGATTCGTTTTTTTCAAGCTTATTAAAGGCTAAGGCGAAGATGCGCTTATTTCCTTCACATGTCTCATTTCTATCTGCCTTCCTCTTCACTCCTCTCGTGCTCCTGTAGTAAGTGAATCGAGTCGACGAACACGAATTTTTTCTAATGTTTTTAGATTTTCTTAGTGCTCTTCGATTATTTGGTAACTACTGTAACTGTATTTTTTCTGTTCTAGCTTCGCGCAATGTTTGATGGCTTACGGAACAATCCAGAACGGCTGAATAGCTTGCGCGGCGTCATACCGGATTTGGTAACAGCAGTTGAACAGAACAATTTTGGTATTCTTTTATAATAATAAACAGCTGAAAGGCTAAGGAGTGAAGTGTTGGGACGAGGAGGGGCCAGGTGAGGATGCCTCTCCTTTAATGAAACAACGAAAAAATTGGGGATGAAAATATTTATGAAAAAAAGGCTAAATTCAATTGAAGAGGCGCAGAAATGAATTATATTGTACAAAATTAAGACGGCCGGACTTGTATTATGCTTTTACGTTAGCGAGTTGCAAAAATGGAAGGGCATCAAATATGTTTTTATCTCTTCGGGTTCTGAAATATGTAAAAAAACGCTTATTTTGATCCTTTGAATAGCTTTTATGTCATCACTGTGTCCTTTGTCATTCCTTTTAGCCCTAGCAGTGCTCCCACCGTTCTCGACTTTGAACTTGCTGCATCCGTATATTCCCTAGGCGAGCATTTACGGGCTACGGACTTTTAGTGCAGCGATTATTTACGAATTTATATTACTATAATTATTAAATCTGTACTGTTTACAACAGAAAAAGTGTGGTTATTGGATTTTGGTGCCGCCTATGTCAGTAGATCGAACTACCCCTGGAAGGTGTCGGGCCAGACCAAAGTAAGAGAAGTTTTATTGCACGTACGGGATATCAGTTACAGGCGCACGAGCATAGGATTAAGTCGATCACAAGGGGGACGAAGTAGATCACCGGTGAGACGAAGTAGATCGCGAGAGAAATGAATCGCGTCAGGCGGCACTGTTGAACGCGGACCCTGAACATCAGATTCTCCGGCTTGTGTACCGTTCTTCCTGTAAATGCTATCATGAGTCGCAATCTTCGACAACGGGGATTGAGAATGTACTGCATGGGAAAGAAAGCCGGGATTTGACGGTGGGAAAACGACTTGGGAACGAGGGAGTTGGACTCCTGTCGGAGATCCGATCTCCGCTGGGAACGTCGATTCCCGACGTCGCGGCGGAGTGTCATTGAAAGATGAAGATCAATTTTGTTTATTTTATTTTATTTTTTTGAAGTTTTATGGTTTGGGATGGGGGAAGGGTAGCAAGGCGAGGAATTCGCCTTTACACAACTGTATTTATTCATTGATTTAGGTAGGATCTTCCATTTCACTGTTTGCAACTCAAGTATTTGCATAACACCGCACGGCTATAGCTTAATAGTTCGTCTTGTTCATTCGTTAGTTCCCACAAGCAGAATTGCCAGGGTCTGCTTTTTTTGCCTATTTTCTGCTTAAAAATTTGGATCCTGCTCCCAAATAGTGCCATAATTATGCGTTGGAATTTTGCTGGGGCCGAAATTTGAATGACGCTTGGCTTGCACATACAGCGAAAGGTTATTTTAGTTTATTGTTGACAGACTGTGACACTCTGCAGATATGTTCATTGCCAAATATGTGGCGGACCGGGAGCAAGCAATTGCCCGGCAACGTGCAATGCTCGATCCATCCAGTGCCGAAGGTCAGCGGCTAATTGCCGAGCAAATAGAGCGTGAGAACATCGACTATTCGCATCAGTTTGCGTTGGAACACATGCCAGAAGCCTACATACCAGTAACGATGCTATATATCAGGATGAAGATCAATGGAATTGCCGTGAAAGCGTTCATCGATTCAGGTCTCTTCACTTCACTTTCTGTGCATCATACAATAAGAAGGCATATTAATAGAAAGGCATATTAAAAATGGATGAAAAGAGATGAACAGAGAGAAAGCTGAGAGATGAAAATTATTTGTAAATTATTAAAATTATTTTAATGATAAAGAAATGTTTCGGTCCATTAAGTCATATACATTTCTTACCATTACCAGAACTTCTTGACCGGCAAAGAAATTTTTAGTTTCAGCATCCATATGCGCCCAAGTTTCATGTATGAACGCGTACATTTTAGCAGGAAATTTTCCAACTCCGGAATTAGATAAGACAGAAAGCCGAACTTTCAAAGGGGTGTTTTTTCAGACTTAGCTTCCATGTACGTCTAGATCTTATTTATGGAAAAATATAAATTTTGGCCGAACAGAACATTCCGATGATCTATGCACGTACGAAGCAGCAAAGCAGTGAAAATCTTTAGCAGCAAACGTTCGTTAGACAGAATTGCACAAAGCGCATGATTGTTCTAGCAATCCTGATGCGCAGCACAATTTATTGCGATGTTGCAAGCGTGTTAGTTTTCCAACAGGAAGGATACACGAGAGCGAATTTAGACCAAATCTGGAGCATTTTTTTCTGCATTCCACTGGAGGAGTTTTGCTTGAGCAAGCGCTGTCCATTTTACAGGTCTTAATGGTCTTTTTGTAGCCAATGTTTTTCAGGAGCTCAAGTTTCAATACTGTCTGAGCGTATTGCACAGCGCTGTAACTTGATGCGCTTGGTGGATAAACGATTCAGGCGATCAGTTCATGGTGTTGGTGGAATGCAAACTTTGATTGGCAAAATACATGCTTGTAAGAGAATTTTCATCAAATATTTAGGGCAAAAATTGGCTTTTAAATGGGTTTTCTTAATATCTGCTAGTTTCGGCAATCTTTATATGAATGTATATCTAAGGTTAAGTGGAAATTTTGTTGAAAAATGTAGCAATGGATGATAGAAAAGGTCAAAAAAGAGTAAAAAAACGGGAAAGATGTAAAAAAGAAGTAATAAATTAGATAAGAAATGTTTCGGTCCATTAAGTCGTATACATTTCTTATTTGTCTGTTATACATCTACACCGACACATTTTTGGCACTACTAAATTAGCATTCCGGGTTCTTCGCATATCGACTTTACCTTTCACAAGGTGGTAGTTAGCTAACTATCTTTATATCTATTTCTAGCTGAAGTGAAGGCAGTTACTGGAACTCGGCTCGGCTTATACGGATTGCGAGAGCAGGAGGGGGTGGGGATTGAGATGATTTTGCCGTGTCCACCTGGGTGGTACGATAAGGGTGAAGGTAAATGGAGGAAGAAAAAGAAAGTCTAAGTTAACGGGCAAGTCATAACGGGGGGTGAGGCAGGGATGAATGGATGGAATGGTTCGTCGTGAGACGACGAAAGGAGGAAATGAAAGAGATTGTGAAGCGCATATGTGTATTTTAGAAAGTTAAGAAGATGAAAGGAGGAGTTGTAGGGAAGCTAAATGTGAAAGCGGATGTCTGTGTTTCATCCCTAAGCTGCAAACAGACGGTATGCGGTGTGGACTGGGGTGGGAATCATCAGTGCAGCCCCCAATCCAACATTTGATAATTTTGATAACAGGAATGCGTGGTAGGAGAAGGGAACAGGAGAGGAGGAAGACAGTAAAGAATAGGAGGCGAAAGGCAGAAGCAATGAGGCGAGGGGGAAGTTTTAAGGGAAAAAAAAGAATTAATTTTTTAACATGAGCATGCATAGAAAACTAACGTGCGTCACGTAGTTGTCGCCCTTAGTGCGTTTCGTGGGAGGTTCAGGTTTAGGGATGTTGAGATGGAAAGGAACTGAGACCTTGTTTTAGAGGCAGAAAATGGAAACGAAGATGGGAAGAGGGGAAATTGTATGGGTTTATGATACTAAGCAAGAAACTAATTGGTGAGAAAAAGTTCGTAAGTTACTCTCGGCACCTTAGAACCTCACTGGAAGAAGAATACGATACTTGTGTACTACTGTGATTCTCGTAGCCCTCACCAAAATCTACAGGCGAGTGCAATTTGCGCAGCCGAGCTGAATTTACACCTGCGATCTTGCCGTTTCTTTGAAGCACCTTAAAATCACAGGGAAAAGGCGTGCCCAGGGTTAATCGTGTAGAAACTTCTGTGAGTAACATACCCGTGTTGCAGAAATCTCAGGCTATATTGGGAGACCTGTGTAGAAGTATATATTTACGCATATATCTATTTTTTAGGTCAAGTTCAGATCGAGGAACATTTCTTTCCGTGTAATTTTGATGTGTTGGCAGAGCGT